AAAAAAAAAAAAAAAAAATAGCTTCATCGCAATTTAACACTATCAGAAGTTCAAATAAGATTTCTTGTTTGAGCCATAGTAAATGTATGTTGTTTCAGAATATCCTTGCTACTAATCCATGTCGAGAGTTTCTCATTTAGGGAGGCAAAAGCTTTCGATCTCGTTCCTCATCACTTTGTTACCTTGAAGCTCTGCATTGATGAAAAAGAAAAGAAAAAACTGATATAACCAGGGAAATTTAAAAAAAAAATATCAAAATCAAATTATTAACCAAAGTAGTTATACAGCTGATTATTGCAGCATTAGAGTTTGAATGAGACTGTTCCACCTATTTGTTAACCACATGATTTATTCATAGGATATGTCGGAAAATATTACCCTTACGTGTTAATCCTAACTTGGATAGGCAAAAATTCATAAATATTTTTTTTTTTTTTTCACAGTTCTTTCTCACAAATACGAATCGTGACCAGACAAAGTAGAGGCACAAGTCGACCGTGCTTATTACCTTCACCCGTTTCAGCAGGTCCTTAGCTTTAGGATCAGTGTTGAAATGGTCACGGACCGGCTGCAGAACAGATAAAAACTCAAGTAAACAAACAGGCACTAATTTATGAAAAATAATTATTATAATAATATTATAGCAAGAAGCAATTTTATAGGCTTCAAAGTTGACACTTCCCCTAGTACAAAGTAACAAAAATCAACGATGTAAGTGTTTGCTTCATTATTGTGATTCACAGAACTGCTTCTAGAAGAGCTTTGAGCACAGTACTGATATTCCGACAGATTGTATACCGAAACAGTGATAACTCACGCGTAGGGTAGCACATGAGTTTGTTTTATTACCATACCTATCATGAAAAGGCAGTAGAACTAATCTATGTACAAACTCTATGCTTTTGACAGTAAAACGAGAAAATGATCTGGCAATTCTATAAGGTAACCCCACATTTATGCAACGTAAGTGCCCTCATCTCATCACAGGCAAATGCTTTGAATAAGCACACAGAGTAAAAAAAAAATAGTGACTAAAATTAAATAAAGACCTGTAGAATTTGGTTCAACGCTTTGGCTAGAGCAGGTTTGAGATCCCCAGGGTGCAATTCCCCACTTTCATAATCACCAGCTAAATCTTTGAAATTCTTATAAGTCCTGAAGAAGGAGCACACAATCAGGGTACAATACATACATATGTGTGTCTATATATATATAATATATATACGTCTAGAAATTAATCCAAAAACACTGGACCGCACGACAAATCTGGGCAAATTTGATTCGAAACTAAAACTACATCGATAACTAATTTTGGAAGTCAGCAAGAAAAAAAAAATGGAGCCAGCAAAACTTACTTGTCACCTCCATTCTCTGGTTTTCGCTCGACTGTGAACTCGTTGAACCATGGGAAAATGATGTACTTGATGTATTCCAGGCATGGGTTCTTTTCCACAACTTTTGGGGGGCAAAATGCCTTCTTTATTTTCAAATTCACATTGGCCTGTAAAACTTCAGTGTTAGTAACTGATAACAAAGGTTTTGTACTTTTGTTTGTGAAAAAGCGGAAGTACCAGACAATACCTCTTCATCTTCCATGTAAATGGAAGAAGATGGATCACTCTTAGACATCTTCTCCTGTCCTTCTTGCAGACCTGGGAGCATATCTACATGCAAAAAAAAAAAAAACAAATACAAATCATCAACTAAAAATTCTATTAGAGCTATCAAAATGCCAGGTTCGAAGGACATAACATCATAACTCTTTATCCGGAGTTAGAAGAGAGAGTCTAATCTTACGGTGGGATAAAATAATCGGCTTATTTTTCCTTTTGATGTCGTCACAGTACTCCCTTGCGAGCACATTTACTTTCCTTTGGTCCATGCCCAGTTGGCAGATATCAGCCTGTTTATATGAAGAACATAAACTTTGAATGAACTAAAAATGGGTTTTTCTCATGATTAGAGAGAAGCTATCAATATACATGAAAAACAAGAGAAGAAAATCAATTTCTTAATAAATAATGGGTAAAAATAGAGTTTAGTGAGGCTTACACACACATATTGCTTATATCTAATAGTCACCTTAAGAAAAAATATATCAGCACATTGCATGCACGGATAGAAAATCTGAGCTGCCGACAATTCATCTTGCTCCGAGCGGCCCATAATTTGACAACATCTAAAGAGGGAACAAACAAACAAAAAAATTACTAAATAGACAGCACTAAATCCGCGCACATTCATTAAAAATACTAAAAATCGGGATTTATACCTGACTATCCTAGGAAGCTTGTTCCTCCTTGCTATGTCCATAACAAGAGGCCAGTACTCATGAGCCCGAGAATTAATCTCCTCAGAAGACCACAGAAATTCAACTTGACCTCCTTCAAGATTCATCCCCACAGCTTTCCATATTTCGATCAGGTACTGCCCTGTCACTTGGATTTTCTTCAGGTCACCACCCATTTTGTTGTTCAGCTGGG